GTGACAGACACTGCCAGCCCAACTATGTCTGCACATGGGGGGGCTGTGAGGGGGGGCCAAAGGGGTAGCTGGGGGAGGGGGGGGGGCAATTAATCAGCGCTCTATCACTTCACCTTCAGTTGCCGCTTCTTTTATGTCAATATGTGACTCTTTCACATTTTGCATTGTTGAGTAAAATATGCATAAGTGTGATTCCGCCAACATCACGAAACACCTGTTTTGTAATTAACTTGATGTTTTCCCAGAAAGTGCAGCACTCTTGTGAACAGGGGACTTTCTAGCTATTGAAAAGACCATGTGCCAAGTCAAGTGTACCTGGGGCTTGACTTATTTTTTAATTTTTTTTAAGGAAGATTGGCATTGGGGCTAAAATACTCAGGGCAGTAGCCCCTAGTGATGGGACCTACCGACGCCCAAGACTGTGATAGTGTTGGTGGACAGACAGGTGAACGTCGACCTACTGAGTCTCAGGTATCACGATCCACAAAGATAACCTTACATCAGCCAGGTGGTATGGTTCACCAAACAGACAAATGGAAGACACCTTTCCACATTTCTGTAAGAATGTAATTAAAATGTAACACAAGAATGCTTGACAATCCCCAGCCTACATTATCTATGAAATTACCGTTGGGTAACAGTTTCTGTGAATATGCTGTAAAGTCCCTTTCTGAAGTGCAGTGACTAAACATTGCACATCAGCAACAATGTTATGATTTCATCTTCTCCCAACTGCTCACCCAGTTCATGGTGACAGTAAGCCTGGAGACCTTCAGAGGTGGAAGGGGGCTTAAACATCTTGGAAGGGATGCTAGATAATCACGGGGCACATACACATATTTTAGAAACCAAATGATGCTATTACCTATTTAAATCATGTTTTGTTATGCTATTTAACAGACATTGGGCAAAGTGCTTGAAAACAACCAATGACTGCAATAAACAAATTATTTTTAATCAGATTTTGAAATATTTTAACGTGTGTGATGAAATTGTAGACGGTATTTATGCTTGTGTGAGTTCAGAAGAGAGTAACTGAGTGTGCATGACTGTGGTTGAATGGAGCTCAGTTGAAAGGTCTTTTTGAATGAGTTGTGTTCCTTTAGATGTGGACAATCTGCTTTATTACAGTAACACCCTGATGTTTGTCACCTTACTGGAACATCCCCATTCACAAAGTAAAAAAAACACACACACACATATCAACAGGGGCTGAAGGAGTCACATTCATTTACTTTGTGAGCATCATCCCTTTTGTCTATCTTTGCATTTCACTGTTTGAGTTGCGTATTTTTCCCTCAGTCTTTGTAAGAGCACATGTCTTGTTTCCACTTGATAAGAATAATATTATCCCAAACAGATAAAGCTGTCTGCATCTGGTGATGCTTTCATTCTTTTTTGGCAGACTGCCCAGGCACAAGACTTAGTGCCGATGGGTTGCAGTCTCCACCACGTCTACCAGCCAATTATGGTCACCCCACCCCTTAAAGCCGTCCAAAGTTATAGGTGCAAAAGTGTATTTGATATGTATTGAGCGTTACCACTGTGCCTTAACTAATCCATCCATCTTTGTTATTTCATGTTAGAAGACAAAAAAACATAAAGGTGAATATTCTGAAGTCTGGGAATCAGGAAGAGCTCAAAAGCACCATCTTTTGGGGGGTGAGGTACAATGTGTGTAAAATTCACCACTGTAAAATCATGCACCATAAACAGGGACAGTATCTTCAGTGAAAGTTAACTTAGCTAAGTTCACAGGTAAGTTAGCATCTGTCTTGAATAGATGAAAACTGGGAAAACAATGTGAAACTGGATGTGTAATTACTATATAAAGGCAAATAAACAGATGAATTACATCTAAGTACATCTAGCCTGTGATGCATTTTCCCAAAGCATCACTTGGGTAAACTTTTACATTTGTTATTTGAGTGTTTTTGTGCAACACCGTCTACTAAGTTTACATTTCTACTCCACAAACATGAAAATATATCATGAATGAAGTACATACACCAGACTTATTAAAGTAAAACCATGTATTTCCAAATCTCTTGGAAGTAGGAATTATGATGCATACTGCAAAACTATATTACTATGTTAGAACACTACTTAGAAAAATATTATAAACAACTCAAAAGAACATGGCAAAAAAATGTATAGTAAAATGCATATATAGTTAATATTATTTAAATACTGTTTTTAAATAATACCAGCATGTAACAATGCAACTAGGGCTGAGTCAGTATAACCCTTTGAATCAAAGTGTATTTTATTGATGGAGCCAGCAGAGACTTCATATTTTGGGCTAGTTATTAAAATATTTCTCTGACAGAGTCTCCACCAAAGTTAAAATAATTAAAATAAATTAACACAAATAAATACGGCGATAAACACTCTTTGCCGTTTCTATTTTTGTTCTTGGTGGCAACCCTTTTAAAAAAAAAAAATGGGCAAATATAACACAGCGGAAATTCATAAAGTGCTCAGCAGGTCGTACACGCTGTGAAGATGTCGCAGATCATTAATCAGGTGGCGTGTGCTGTGCTGCTTGTTGGTGGCGTAGTGGCTGCGCCTGAGGTCGTGCCATTACCCTCCAAATAGATGTCCTACATTGATGGATATAAACAAGCCTGAAAAAGAGAAAGAAAAACAGTCAACAAGGAAAGCACACTTTGAAATAAGCGAATGATGGATTTAGCCTGCCATGAAAGGTGTGTTTGAGGTGCCTGTGTGTATTACTCATTTTTTTCTTAAGTGTTGCATGCTGGGATTGTCGAGGAATAGGCAGCCCTGCGACTGCGTTACCTGTCGCCTCTGTGTGCAGCTTGGAACCGTCCGAACTGGTCACTTGGCAAGAGACAAAGGTCTTTCTCCCCTCGACCTTATCGAGGACAGAGTCAATCAGCACCACGCTGCCCAGGGGAATGGGACTGGGTGGCATAGGAGAGAGAATTCAGATGGCACAGATTACGATGCACAACGCACACTACAAACTCACGTTAGTACTAAAGTAACAGACTCCTGTAGCTCAAGAAGTAGACCGGTATTGTGCTAATAACACAAAGGTCATGGCTTCAACTCCCAGGGAACACACATAAATTGTAACCCTTCCTCACTGTAAGTTGCTTTTAAGAGTCAGATAAATAAAGTAATAAGCGATTAATACAATTCCTATAATGCCGTTTCAGTAACTCGTAAGTCACTAATCTTGAAATAATATTTTAAATGAAGGAACTGGATTGAAAGATGCTGAATTTGATTATGATGCCTTCTTTCCTGATGAATAAGACTGGCAGCTGATTTGTCAACTCACCTGCAGTAGTTGATATTGAGGTTGGCTGTCATGACTATTCCAGAGAGGTATCCAGCGAGGGTACCCAACGAAGTATCGATGATGGTGGCTATAGCACCGCCATGGACATTCCTGTGGGTGCATTATCATGTTAAGGAGACCGTCCATTAACACAAAAAGTCATACAGTACCGTGTAAAAGTCTTAGGCAGTCATAGAAAATATTTAAATGATCTTCACGTTGGTGTAAAACTTTGCTGTTATGTCTGTCAAACTCAGCTAATTCACTTCAAAATCTCTCCTAAAATCACCCCAGTGTTTGCAGCAAATGTCCAATGTACCCATATTTTTTTTGACTCCACCACTAGTGCCCCTCATATGGCTAGTCAATACCTCACTGACTTTTTAAAACTATTTAAATGAAGTAATTGGGTGAGCTTGTGATAAAATGTAACAAATATATTGGGATGGTTGGTGCCCCTGAGGAGAGGTTTGGGAAGTGATGCAGTGTTCCTCTAGCCATCCAACAAGATATCAATAAAGTTTTGGAGAACAGAAGAAATCCTTGTTAATTTTCATTGTTTCTCTTAATATGCATAGATTGTGATGTTATTTGTTCTGGGCAAATATATATTTACTACCCAGATAAAGAGCTTTAAACATTTCCTTTGCCTGAGAGTTTTGCAAAGTACTGTATTTTGATACGTTTCTGGGTCCTGTGAAATCCTTTCATATGTATTTCCTTGTGTATAGCCCCCCCCCTTTCCGTGTCCTCTGAAATCACTCCCCTGCCTAACTGCCTGCCTGTATGTCACACTGTGGTCCAATGTCATTTCCAGTCACTGTATATCTGTATGTGGATGGTTTGACAGGAAAGCCCACTTCATTTGACTAGATTAACTGATTGAGACATTTAAAAGTTTCTTAAGAAATATAAATTAAACATCAGTAAAATTAAAAACAGTTACAGGATCTTATCCTTATGATCTGTCAATTCATTTAATGAAAATGATCTGCATGCAGGTGATGTCAGCGGACGGCCGCTAACCCGGGAGGGCCCTCCAGAAGATGGCCTGCTTGGAAGATGCAGACGCAGCGCTTTTCCGACTTGTTCATGAAGACGACATACTCAAAAGCTGCACCCTGCTCTTCTGTGTTCCGGGTGAAGAGGCGGGCCTTCTCCTTCAGCAGCTTACTGAGACACTTCCCGCCTGAATTACAACACAGAGACAATGACATATAACAACAAATGGGTAACAGACACATAAGAACACATTCTTCTATATTTTATGATGCCTAAAAGCATCACATAAAAGCCATGGGGATACTTTAAGTTATGTTGCACACCTGCTGCGTATTTGAGTGTGCGATTATAGCTGGGAAGTCTCCCCCATCCTCCTGGCTTCTTTTCACCACCCTCCATCTCCTTCTCGCAAAGGCTGTCGTAATACTCATACAGCCTCCGCATCTCCGTGCTCCAGGAAGGGTTGGGGAGGCTGTAGTCACGGGGTGGAGAGGAGAGCAATGGCCATTCCGACACCTAGCGGAGATTAAGAATATTACGTAAATAGGCCAAACTTTCGGGAAAAGCCACATGGAAGAAATGGTCAGTGCTTACTCTGCATACTTCTCTTTCAGTTTAACAATGACTGGATCAACGCGAGCAAAAACCTTCTTACCGACACAGCGCGAGAGCTGAGCCAAGGAAGCAGGGCTGTTCTGGGGATCAGCCGCAGGATGGCGCTCCTGAGGGGACGAGCGGAAACGGTGTGCAGCACGGTTTGGCAAAATACTCTAGTCACCTGCAAACCGTGTCGTAACATGACGACCAGAAAAGACACCCGCTTTGACTCAAGATCACTGCCTATATTAACTGAAATTAGCCTCTTTTAACTGAATATAAAAAAGCTACACATATACCGAACAGAAATTTAACGGAAGTTTTCTGGAGCGAAATACGTCCTACGCAAAGACTAAGATATCCTTATTTTAAGTGTTTCATTACAAATACGAAACGCGCTATAAGTACGGTTCTCAATTGGATGACAACCCTTTAACTTTCCATCCGGTATCGCTAACGTTTAATATTACATAGCTAAACCCAAAAAATCAGTAATAACTACTTTGCTAGATACTGATAGAATCCGTTTTATTTGAAAATGTCGCTTCACTCATATACACCATATAGAATAACGAAACGTGCGGCGATCCATGCCCGCCTTATGCTTCCTTTTCGCCGGTAAATGACTTTCAGTTGCAGTTCGGCACGTAACCTTAATGACCACTTCCTGTGGAATCAAGGCGCTGGCAACTTTGGTCATGTGGTACTGATCCTTTTCTTTGATTGGTGGGTTTTCTTTGACACGGGAAAAGCTGCTACAAACTTCCCTGGGATAGGCTGGTTTGGTGGAGCGCGCTTTGGTTCCACGTCCTCGTGGCTGTGCGTTCGAATCCCCGCCTCGTTTTTTGATCACTTTGCTCTCAGCTGATTCGCTATATGGTTCGCATGGCAACGCACTTGTTGCACTGTTGTTATAGTTTGGGTTAGAAACAAGTAACAGGCTGGTCGTGTTGCTTTAGTTTTTTTCTCTTTCTCTTGTCTGAAATAGTTGTAAAATATTGTTATCCATATCGCCACATTGTAAAGCAGCTGCAATGAGTATGTTTCGTAATGAATACCAGATTAGAGACTCACCGGTTCAGAGAGAGAAGGAGCGAATGAAGGTGCAAACTTTAACACGGGTGATTTACACTTACACTAGATAATTAGCCTTATCTATTAAGATTAAGATTAACTGTATTGATCTCAGTGGGAAATTCGTGTGCATACAGCAGCAAGAACATAGTGCACCGAACATACATTACTGTATGTTATTAAACACGTTGCGGGTATAAAATGCAGTTTGCCTACCTACTTTTTAATTAGTACACACGTAGCAAAGTTTCAAATAAACTTGTGACGTGCTTTCTAACTTTTAATGATCGCTGACATTTAGCTGTATTTTTTGTAATTTCCTAGAATGAGATGGAGCTGACGGACAGAATAGAAGAACTTACCAGGTAGGTCATTCTCCGGTTTTATGGTCCTAATTTTGAAATGTTTGGCACAGAGATAAGTGATTAACAATATAACTTACTTTTTTGTACTCTCATATACTCTTGGCCTATACATCAGTTTTTTTTAATACATTTCTTCACTACTGAACGCATTAAACATAAATTACCGTTCTGAATGGCCTCTCCTCTTCTGCAGCATGAACAGAATAATGCAGAAGGCTGACTTCGAGTGCTCATCCCAGGCTGTTTCGGCCCGGGTCCAGAGACACAAGCAGCTAATACTGCAAAGGGAGGCTGAGCTGGGACGGAGAGCACTTATCATGGTGAGGGAAAAATGAATGGAGAGATGATAGTATAGTATTATTATTATAATGCAAGTCGATGTCGCCTCCTAGTGGCCATATAGACGACAATCCTAAAGAATGTCCGGGGTAACCAAGGTGATGGTAAAACTCGATATTCGCCCAATTCCCAATTTTTGGGGAATTCCAAGGAAGGCGTAAATGAAAGAAAACGAGGATAAAAATCTATATCTATATAGAAATTTGTGATTTTTATTTATTTTTGTGTTCAAGTCAATTTTTATTTCACTTATTTTATATAACATTGTTTGTATTTGGTATTTTAAATACAAGGAGAAGTATGTTTTTTTTTCTTTTTTTCCAAATCCTTTTGCCGGTTTTAAATGTTCTTTTCAGGTTTTATCAATAATGTAAGACTGTAGAGTAAAGTTTAATATAATTATGTAATGATGATATAATGATTACTGTTTCTTAAATTTTACAGCTGTTCTGTTTACCTTCATAACCAGGGGCTTTAATGGGTTTAAATTAAATTAATGAACTAATTTAGTTAGTTGTGCAGATTTGGAATGTGTGAGTTCCGCTCTCATGTGGAACCTGGACCAGAGCAGTAACCAGAGTTCTGTGGGCGATTCTGCAGTGTATCTACCTAACAAATGTCATTCCAACAGGCACGCAGGGCAGCACTGCAGGATCTTTTGGAAAAGGACCGGCAGCAGTGCACAGTGGAACTCAAACAGATAGGGGAAGCATTTTACCCGCAAAGGAAATGAAGTGACACCACATCCTGTCACGGTCAGCTCCGAACGCTCCTCGTGTGTGCCACGCCCCCTCATTACCTCCTGTCGAAACCTGATTGTTCTCACCTGTTGCCTGTTATGTTTGCCTAGTCTCATGTATTTAGTCCTAGTCTCAGTCAGTGTACCCCAGATTTGTCATTGTGATGTCATGTGATGTTCGCTGTCGTGCTTCTCCAGTCCTGGTTTTCTGAATAAATCCCCGTTTTACCCTGCTTCCTGGCTCCGATCGCCTGCTTTCCGGCTCACTTGCCCCGCGATCGTGACACATCCTATGTAGATATTAAAGGGATGTAGAAGGGTGAGATAAAGCTGCAAAAAAAAATCCCTTGTTTGTTTATTCAGTCTCACCAGCGGTGAGATAAATAAGGAAGTGATGTGTTCATATCAAGTGCCTCAGAATTTTTAAGATTAATTTATCAGGGTTGGGCTCATTCTGGAATTCATGTATCAATTCCAATCCAAAGCAGGAAATGGAACTGGAGTTGGAATTTAAATCTCCTAGAAATTCGACTTCAATTCTAATTCTGTTCCCCATCATTTTTTTACCACCCCCAACTCCAGTTCCACTTCCTGATTTGGAGTGGAATTGCTGAATGCATTCCAGAATCGCCCCAACCCTGTAATTTACATAAACCTCAGGCAACCCGGCAGAAATACCAATAGTTGGATTTTGCTTAAATGCTAAAATTACAAATTCTAAAGTTGATTGAGTTCTGTAGTGATTAATTCTAGTATTCTAGTATAATAGAACAATAGAATTATTAAACAACAGAAAATGGCAAGATAAACGCTCTTGGATCTGTGAAAAGAATAAAGGTTAATTTCAATGTCTAAACCTGTCTGGAGCCTTCAACAAAGATAAGATGTTCTTACTGTAGCTCCTACAGCCAAGGCCACATTCCAGTGTTTTTCCTTAGACCTAACAAACCTAATGGCGTCATATGAAAAATAACCAGTCTATCCATGTTTAAGGTTACAAAGTGTGCAGAACAGGGAACACATGTGAGGGAGGAAGGCAAAAGTCAAAACGTACCAAAGCGGTATTACAACATATTGGTATGAATACAACTGGATCCTTGTGGTTTCGTACCGTAGGCTCAAGCTCCCCCAACCCTGCCCGAGACAGTTAGTTAGGAGATGGATGGATGGAATCCTTATTAACATTGACATAATTCGTAATGGAGGGACAATGGACGTCAAATGGCCAGTGATATTTAGATTAAATAAAAAGATAAAATATGGATTCTGGAGCTGTTGACAAATTATGATTTGTCACTACCCTGTGAAATAAGTTTCAGATTTATTACTGAGTGGGATTCCTGTTGACAAATAGCATTACTAACAAGCGCTACAATATTTCTGGGACTGGCTCTAAAAACTATGCTTCAATTCTGGTTTGATAGGCATTCTGGTACTGCAAGTGCAGTAACAATTTATGTATCAGCTGCAGGTAAAATGTGCTGTATAAACAGTTTGAATCAATCCATGTTCTTTACTCGAAAATAAAACTGAAGAAAACTTCCACATATCCAGTCTACACAGGGGTGTAGGTTTCATATTATCATTGGGGGGGGGGGGTATAGGGGGGTCGGGGGTGTGATGTCACGTCGCCTTATAAAGCGATTCTGTAGTCAATTTTTTTTTCGTATAGATGCAATATATAAAGTGAAATTCATCTCTCCATTTTACTGTTATTCATCTTCACTAATATGGTCGTTTAAGTGCATTGAGTTCCGCATTACGTACTCTGAGTTTGCGGGAATTATTAAAATTATGCACAATTTGTGAGATTCCGTCACGGATGTGAGGCCATTCATTGCGGAAAAATGATCTCACCTCAGGGTGCACTATGATGCCCCTGTCACTCTCATAAACACAACCCACATAAAATGGCCACTAGAAGAGACCCATAGAAGTACATATAGGAGATTTACTGAATCTCTTCTTGGTAAAAAAAAAAAATTGCGTTTTCTGCCAACACTATTTATGAACTCAATGATTCTGAGTTTCTGGTAACTGAGTAACTTACTTTATGATGTTTCCCAAATAAATGCCAGATCTGGCCCCGTTTTTTTTGCCGGGCTTCTTACTCATTCTTATACCATAACAGCAAACACAGCGGGATGAGAACTGTGACTGACAAACGCCACATATCGCAGCGTTATCAGCGTCACTACTTGTGCTACGCTGTTAACTAAACAAGCTAGTTGCAGTTTGTACAATCAAATGCGATGTTTATGACACTTAATCGACACGAGACGATTAAATTTCGCCATTTCGCATAACCAATAGTAAATCAGTAAAAGGCTATGATACAAGGTTTACAATGAGTGAAGTTCACAGGCAAAGCCGTACCGTCCCAGAAAATGTACCCTGAAGATGATGACTGAGCGCATTCAAACATAACCCCTTCCTGGAACTGATATCCCTTTGTTGCATTTCTCCTTTTGCTAACACCAGAACAGCATCTTTTGTTTTCACCCCACCCACACCAGCCCCACTTTTGGTAAAAACCCCCCTCTATGTTCTTCCCACGATCCGGCTGGACCAGATTTTACAAAAGACAATTAACATGGGCCTGAAGAAACAGAGAGCAATTACAGACTGTTTTAGCAATGAAGCCAATCTGATTATCCCCAATACCATTTCAGGTAGGTGTCTGACATATTAGTAACAGGCCAATGACAGTGATGTCCAGCTTCCTGTATACAGTACAAGTGCTTTCAACTCTATTGTCAATGCATTGATCTTCTAATACATTTTTGATATCTGATATTTCACAAAATTAAAATCTGTGCAGCCCGATAAGCCAAGTGGATCACTCAGGTGACAAATACATACTTTTCCTTATATATCCTGTTTTTTCTCCTGTAGAAAATATACATAGACACAAACTAGCAAAGACTAGTTTATTTATCTGACCTTCATCACCCACCTTGAGTTTTCTGTTTTGTTATACAGAGCATTTCCTCAGCAGACGGTCTTGCGAAATACTTCTTTATAGCAAATAAACTGTTTGCTGCATTGCTCTTTTCAATAACACTTTACTTAAAGCAGTCATTGTAATGCATTCATAAAGTACCATAAACAGAACTATTACTATTTATA